CCAGGCAGTGATACAATATGATATAATGGCATCAAGAATAACATACACACATTTGCTCCATGGGCTAAAGCAGGACTTGATTGGAATACTGAGGATGTGTGTGCAAACAAGCAAGGAACTTGGAACAAGATGAATGCAAGTGCATGTTCAAGAATTTGTCAAATTTTTGATGGGCACAAGCAGGGCAGTTACTTGCATGCATACTAGAGCAAAGAAGGTTGCCTCCTATCTCCTTTCAGTGGAACTAAGGCTTGACGAAGGGAAGGGAAAGTATGAAGCTAAAGTATGAAGGACAGCCTCTGCTCAGCAGCTTCTGCATAGGTCCTTTCCTGCTCCTCCTGCTTCTTTCTCAGATGCAACTCCCATTTTGAGCAGAGCGAGTTCACAGCTCCTCAAACTGAATTGATAAATGTAGGATTTTAAATGTTCAGCTCATCATTCAATGATAAGAATGACATGACTAAAGTAATAGCATTGATATGTTTCTTGATAAGCTGGTGATATGTCTTCTAATCCCATGTAAACATTCTCAGAAATGTAATTGACCACTGCAGAACATAGAAGCGTGGGACTGTAGCCTGAAACTAAACCAACAATACTTTCATTGCACAAAGTCCCAGGGTTAACCTCTGCCATTTGAAGCTCAAATAATTTTTGGTTTGGTCTGTGACTTTGAAGAGCTGGTTGGCCCCTGTATGAGCAGAATCCTGGACCGGATGGACTGTTGATGTGATCCAGCATGACTTTTGGGCTAGATTGGCAACCCCATAGTTTGCCTTCCATCAAGGCTAACATCCCAGGGCTTGCCCTCCCTCCCCATGGTCTTCCACTGATGCCCAGCTGCTTGGGAAATAGGTGATCATTGGCAAATAGAAGAGAACACTTCAGAACACTCCAAGCATTTTGAGATAGCATCTTCTGGAGATTCCATTACTGAGCTTCCCTCTCTCCTTAGCTTTTCTGAAGGTACTGACTCCAAGGAAAGGAAGGGGCTTTGGCTGGGGTCATACTGGAATATATGAGGAGTCCTGTGGATCAGATGTGGCACATGAGTGCTACATAGTTACATCCAGTGCTCCCAGTCTTCAGAACTAATTAAGTAAACAATATATATAGCACATCTATTAAAAGACTATTATCCCAGGTATGGAGATAATCCCCATAATGCAGTGCCAGAGATAGTTAACAGAATGCCTTCCAAAGGAATTGAAAGAATGTTGTAGAAAACGAATGGGAGCTACAAACATTTTACTTAGATACAGCCATCTAGTATCATTAAGAATCATGACTCATGCAAGGCATGAGTCTTTCAAATCAAGATCAGAGTGAGTTTTTCAATGTTCAAAGTATTTTAGGTGTGAAAAAGAACCTGTGTGCTTCCTTATCTAATGGGATCATTAGCCAAGTGCAGTAAAATGCTGATGATCATGTAACAAACATCAACGACTTCTCTGGCCAATTCCTTTCTGTAGCCGCTGCCCGTGCTACTGATCCATTCCCTCCTCTTGCTAAGGGTATATTTAGCCAGATGGTATAAAGGGCATGCAATATCATTTTGCCTAGACTCTATAAGGAGCAAAGTAAGGGATTCTAGTTAGACAGCATTCCTTCCAAGATTTTACATATTATCAGCAAGTGGGGTAAAATGCTTGATTTGCTTGGCGCAATTGATATTTAGAGAAAAATGGAAATAAATCAATTAGAAAGGTTTTAGTGGTTATTTAAAATAATCCTTTAATAAACATTCATTCCTAATGAAATGAAATGAATTGAACTGAAAATCCATAGCATGACAAATTTACTATATCTCGGGACGGTTGAGGTTGAGTGGTTATTTAATGGCAGTTTTCTGAAGTCTGTAGCTTATGGCACTTGGGGTGCAATTCTTTGATTGCTAGACACTGTCTAGATGGTTGTAGGAGAGATCAGAGTCCCTGCTCTGACCTTGGAAATGTGTTCCAAAGTTGGAGCTTTGTCGGCAAACACAGGCCCACCCTCTGCCATTGCAGCCACCATCGCTCTTTCTGCACCAGCCCCACCTTCAAAGTTGCAAATGTGACTTTGCAGCCAGTGCGGAGGGGAGTCATTTTGGGTGGGAAGAGTGGCAGGGGCAGAAGAGAGAGATGGCCAAAATTGGCTGAAGCATGGAGGAGAATGCCTTCATGTTCCTTGACTCAATGCCCATCATCCCTTGAGTTCAGAGGTTAGGATAGCCACATTTCAGTAGTCGTTGCTTTTAGGAGTGGAAGTTACTCAGTGCTTAAAGCTGCAGCCCTTTGCATGCTGAGGCAGAGAAAGTCCAGCATGTCTGGCTGGGCTGTGCTGAGTGTTATAAGCCTTTCCCTTGTTAAACATGCCAAAGATTGTGCCACAAAAGCATTTTCCAAGTGGCGCAATGCTTGACTAGTTTATAACAACCATGTCATCATGAGACTCTTCAATGGGAAGCTGGTTTTATTAAAAGCTATATAGTGTGTGTTTTTTTCAAATCGCTTCTAATCTGCCATTAATGAAATAATTGGCTAATACTGTCCCCCACTGCACTGAGATTGTTTTTAGTTTTGCTACGTCACAGTGTTGGTATCTGCACTCTAAGGTTTACAGAATAATTCTTTGATTATTCTGAGAAATGAGAGAATAGCTAGTTCAGTCTTGAAGCTTCTTCACCAAATAATGCCTCCCTCAATGCATATTCTAGAATCTACATATTGAAGAGTTATCTATAATGTCCTTCACCAATATGGATTCTAGGGTGATTTGTACATGTCCCTAATTTTAGGAGTGCTCTCACCTGCAAGAACTGAAATAGGATTTGTGGTTGGCAAATGTCTCTGAAGAGTTGTCAGATTTAAGTGCCCAAAAATTTGTTTTATTTGTCGTTATTTGTTTTTTGGCACCAGGCCAAAACCTTTTTATTTAAACGATATTTTAATAATTGTTGATTTTATTTATTGGTTTTAAAATATTGTACCAGGATGTTTCCAGATTTTATATAAATGTATTTGTATATGTATTTATTTATGATGTTGGAAGTTGTCCCAAGGCTTATGCGAATGGGACAGCATACAAAAATTCCAAATAAATAAATAAATAAGGACTGCAGAGTAGATATTTAGTATATCTAAATATCAGTTTAGGCCACAAATGTCATCTTGACAGGTCCCATTAATAGGAAAAGATTTGGCATTCTCTTCAGTTCTGGGAGCTGTGTTGCACATTCTTGGCTCTGAACATCCTTCTTTGCTTCCAGTCTATCTGTTAGCCTCCCTCAGGGTGTTGTCCTAGAGTTTGGTTTAACATATGACATTAATAACTGGAGGCTGGTGGTGGCAGGCCAGTCTGTCCACTCTGGGTGCGGGTTTGAATCTTTAAGGAGCTGTCTGTGATGCTGAAACTTAAGGCAAGATATGTTCAGCACCATGAACGCACTTCTGACATTATATGGTTAGCTCATCTCTTAAGTGGAGATATTCTTTGTTCCTTAAAAGAGTGGAGCAGAGCAAATTGAGTATGTGGGGAGGGGGCTGATATAGATTGGGATCTTAACAACTGGGGAGCAGTCTTTACTACTTTGCTCCACCTATGGAAGTAATATATATATAGAAACAAATGGGCCCTCTTTTGCAAGGGAAAGTGGATGCATGTAGATGCACCAATCTTGATGTGGTTTTATGCAAGAATTCTTTTCGTTCATTATATTACTGATTGGCACAAGCACTTTTGTCCATTCCTTCTACACCACAGGAAAACAACCTAGATGCAACTAGATGTACACTCAGTTACATCATGATGGTGTGCATTGGTAATGTAGGGGAGTGAGGAAAGGTCATAAATAAATGGAGTTGGATGCTAGAGAAAAGTATGCATGAAATATGCAAGATTCCACAATGGACAACCCACATGCTTAAAGCTCTGCTTACAAAATCTGATAGGCAACTCGTTACTATAACATGAAATTTGCAGGAAGGAACGTTGCTTGGGAAATTTATTTGGAGATTCCTACCATCATTACAGTTTGCCAATGTAGAGCATTTTGCTATTGCAAAGTATACCATTTAGAAACACACTGCTGATTTTTCTGGATTTGGCATCCACACAAACAGTCTTGCCTGATCCACACAAACAGTCTTGCCTCCAAGCACTTTGAGGGAATGGGCTTTGATGCACTGGCTTGTCAAAGTTTGACAAACCACATGATACCAATATGCATTCAATCTCAAGATAGAAATTGTAGATTGAGGAAGTGCAGCCCATCTGGCGTGAAGGCACCCACTCTCCCATAAATTGCCATTCTTATTCTCAGCAGCTGTATTCTTATGCATCAAACTCAATGGCAGAGTGCATGATTTGCATACAGAAGGTCCCACATACAGTCACTGCAATGTTTAGTTAGGGCTGGAAGTACTATCTGGAACCCTGAAATGTTGCAGTGTTTGTCAGTGCTACTCTAGATTGAGCAAAGGTCTGATCTAGACAAAGCCAGATTTCCATTCCCAAGTTCTTAAGCTTCTGTCCAACTAAATCATAGAATATACATGGACTCTGCACCAAAACCCTGGAGTATTGTAGACAGTTTTAAAGTGTGGGTACTGTCCAGCTTTGCTTGCATTGCCATCAATCCACATGAACCCTGGAACTTGTCCCAAACTCTCCAATCTGTCTAAAGTGATTTTCCATCACTATTTTATCAAAGTGTAGTGGATAGAGTATTGGACTCAGGAGATCTGGGTTCTGGTTCCCAGTTGCCCATGTAGCTCAGTGGGTGTCTTTGGGTGAGTCACTGCGCTATCTCAGGAGGACCATGTATGCTACCTTGGGTTCTTTGCCAGGAAAAAAAAGGTAGGCTATAAATATAATTAATTAATTGATGTGGGGTGCTTGGATCAGTTTCAAACAGCATTGTTCTACACAGTGAATGATCATTCCACTTGAATGTGATTGAGTACAGTTTTAGGCTTCCAGTTTTGATTCGTGTCTCTTCTTTGTCCCTTTAACTCCAGATTTTCCACATGACATATGACCTCGCAAGTGCTGTGGTACGAATCTTCAACCTGATTGGTATGATGCTGCTGCTTTGCCACTGGGATGGTTGCCTTCAGTTTTTGGTACCGTTGCTGCAGGATTTCCCACAAGATTGCTGGGTGTCCCTAAATGGTATGGTTGTAAGTATTGTTCATTTTTCATTGTGTTTTTTTAATGTTCTATTTAAAATGTGTTGATTTCTGTTAGTAACAAAGAAGGGAATGCCCAGAAGAATGCTGTTTTCAACAATAGAAATGTTCATAGTGAACTGGTTCTGAAGGTGGTCTTGAGGTGGTGGGTCAAACCAATGGACAGAGAGATGAAAAGGATGAGGCAGTGGGCTTAGTTGTTGCTGTATCCTGAGCCTGGCTCCCATGTTGGAGGTTTCCCTCTGTTCCTTCTGTGCTGGGAAGAGAGGAAGCTATGGTACCTGGCACTCACCTGACCTGCCCTCTATGTCTTGCCTTCTTTTCCCCACTTGGCACTCCTGCTATAGCTCCTGGTTTGCTTTTTCTCTCTTCCTCCTCCGGTTTTCTCTCTCATTGTTCTCTTCTTGCCCATCTCCCATTTCCTTGCTTGCCATTTTCCCTCCTGCAGCCACAGCTCCCCTTCTTGCTCACTTCCCCCTCCTTCCTCTGTTTTGGCTCTTGAGAGCTTGGAAGGAGAGCCAAAAGTGTGGGGTGAGAATGTCTTTCTTTCTAATGAGCCTGTTTTAAATGTAAGTTAATTGTGAGTCTTGCATGTGTTGTGTACATGAATGACGGTGCATAAAATTATTCAGTATGTGAAGAATGTGGACAAAAAGTGTCCTGTGTCCCCTTGCCCACTGTTGTAACTTAATACAATAACTTAGTGGCATCCACTGTAACTGAATGGTGGGAGATTCATGGCAGACATGCATAGTTAGACTGTGGAATTTGTTAGCACAGGAGCTGGCGTGGAGGAGAAAGCTGTCAGTGGTTCCTGGCCATGCATGCTATACCCTAGCTCCATCATCAGGGGAAGCTGCCTCTGAAGACCAGCAGCTGGGTATAAAGCTGGGTATAAAGGGGTATTGTAATCATGTCCTGAGCAGGTGGATGGATTTGTGGCCGGGTTCTGAGAGGTCAATCACTGTGGGAAATCAAAATGTTAAACTAGAGAGGCCTTGGATAGGACCTAGGAAAGCAGCTTCTCCTTTACCTTTCCTTCTCATCAGGGCCATTATTATGCTTTACATTTTAATAAATGTTTCATAGTATGTATCTTCATTTTTGCATACCTGTTACATCTATTGTTCCCTCCCCCCCGTGTGTGTGTGTAGTGTGTGTGTGTGTGGGGAGAGGGAGGGGGAAAGAGAGAGAGAGCGAGCGAGCTAGCATGTAAGAGAAAGCACTTCAGCTCAAAATTAATAATACTAATAATATCACTATATGCACATTAAACCAAACAGGACTAAATCTAGGGGTTCAGTTTTAATAAAAAAAAGTCCCCAGAAAGATTTCATGAAGCCAAGCCGGGGTGCAGTCAGAAAACGTTTTAAGAACTTTTGGAGTCTTTAAACTGAAAAAAGAAGGAGTTATATTAGGAAGGCGGTGCTTTCTTAGGATGTCAGCTGCAGTTTAAGTCACACAACTATCATTACACACATGTCTCTGTCTCATCCACAATCTATTTGTACATTTCAAAGCTCATGTTTCGCGAGTCCTTGCAGGTGACTTTGCTGAAGTCAGCTCCAGCCGTGACCCAGAAACTAGGAGGTAGAACAGGAAGACGGGAGGGCCCTGCCTTTCACTGGGCTTGAGACTGTTGCTGATTATAAGAAAGAACTTCTTATACTGCACAGTGGTCCTGTGGTGACTCAGAAGACTATGAGCCAAATAGGTAGGGCTCTCTGGAGCAACCTGCTGGTGTACCTCTGCCACCCCATTGATGCTTACCTTTGCTGCTTGCCAACTCTACCTGCTTGGCTGGCCAGTTGTTTGGCTGCTCCCCCACTTGCTCAACCAACCATTTTATGGATTACAGTTGGAATGTATTGACCAACAACCCTACTAAGAGAGCTTTTCTTGTAAGGGTATTCCATATGGTATTGTCCACGAAGCTCCAGTCATAGTTGGGGATTTAATTACTGAACAATGCCGGTTGTTGACAACCCAAGGTTATACCTTGAGCAAAAGGACATGGCCTGTAGTCTTCAAGTGGGAGTCCAATTTGGCCCTTGTTCCATACCAGATTAAGGCATTGATGATATATCAGGCAAACCAATCTCTAGTCAGTTGACCAGAAAGTTCTCCTCTTGAATCCTAAAGAGGTTAAATGAAGAGAACTGGAGCTGGTTGCACTGAAGAGTTCCTTTCTGGTTCATTTGTTTAACTTATGCTTTGCCTGTGCTATTTTGTTATTCTTGTTATATGCTTTGCCTTACATGTTAGTGACCTCACGTTCATTTGTCCCAAATATGGAGAACTTTCACAAATTCACGTTAAAGCTTAACTGAACCAAATTATCACCCATCCCTAGCTGAGAATGGCAGAGTAGCCCATCAGACAAAAATCAAAGGCTGGAGCAAATGGTGAGCAGCATTCCGTTGAGAAACTATCTAGTAGTTCTTTGGATAAAAGGGAGATAGAGAAAGCAACAAGAAGAATGGTAAGCTAGCTGTGTGAAGCACTTTGGTAGATTACTCTTGCCCAGATTATTTGCTAATTTGTTCCCAGTGAATTTGCTAAACTTGTGTTACTCCTTACAAGCTACCTTGGTGAGAGTGTTATGCAGTGTAAAACTGGCTACGCACAAATGCAGACACATGAAGTACTGGGCAGTGCACAACTTTTCAAAAGATAACTGAAACTTTTTTCCTTATCTGTTTCTGACTCACTGACTTATTTCTGGAAGATGGAGCTAAATAATGAAAGGTCTAACTCTACTGGAAGATCCTTGAAGGATTAGAAGATTGGCTGCTCCCAGTGTAGAATGTTTTACAATCAGTTGTGAGATAATTCATGCTTTAGTGCAGTGAATCCTATTTGAAGATGAGTTTTGATAAAGTTCAGTGCTTTCAAACAAGAAGGTTTTCAGAAATAGTGTATTGCATGGATTGAACAATGACCATTGTGAACCAATTATCTTTTGTATGTCAAGTGATGGGTAAGTGGGTCAGAATTTATGTGGAATCTCAGTAACTCACCTGCCAATGCAGCACTATACTAATGGATAACATACCTTTGTAACCATCATGAAAGTTACAAAGCACAAACATTTGTAACCTCAGTAAGTGCATCTGATGGATGATACATTTAACACTGTTACTATTCAAAGTTATTATTTTATATTTTGGCAGAACCCCAAAGTGTGAAACTGTGATTAGCTTCTTTTTCATCTTGGCATACACCATAATAATTTGACTTCATGAAGTATTGAAAGAAATAACTATAAACCATCAGGTTTATAGTTTATCATCTTGATCCTTCTGGCTGGTTGGCATATGGATCAATGTGACAGTCTCACATAATGGAATAGCACATCCTTAAGTTATCATGTATCCTCACTGCAAGCATCTGGCAAAGAGGAATGGAAACATGCTGCATGGGATAATGGTCATCATTTCTTTGCATTGCTCTCAAAACAGAAGGGAATAAATTATGGGGCCAGGTTATCCCTTGCTCCCCATTCCTTTTGTCATTGGCATTATGGTAAAAGGTTGGCTGCCCCAGAGAGAGTGCCTTGGATCTGCAGATATTTCAGAGTCGTGCAGTTGTTCAGGTTTATCGTCCTGCAAGCATTCTAGCAGATATCCCCCAGGCAAATGCCCTGGAGGCACATGAGTCATGACCAAGCTTGTGCCTGAGAGGTGTGGCATGTGAAGATGCTTTTCAGATCTCCCTTTCCCCAGGTAGAGCCATTCCAGGAGGTGCAGTCAGGACGACTCCAAAGAATCAACTGGGCAGTCTCAATGGATGCATATATGGCCCCTTCACAAAGATGTCAGTTCACTTGAATATATCCCAGAGCACAAGGCAATGGCTTTTGCACTGTGAGCACTTGTAAAGGGCCCAGTGGCTTGTTTGAATGGCTCCTCATCTTTTATAAAGTGAACGAACACTGAGGTTTCGATTTCTAAACTGAATGCCTGGACAGAAGCTATTGCATTGTCACATTTTGCTTCAGTCTATTCTTACAGTAGCTTAGAAACACTAAGCTAGTCCCGAATGTTATGTGCCGTTTTCCACATGTATTGGTAGCAGAACGCACATTGCATGTGATTAAAAAATACTGTAGTATCTTAACTACTGCTGAATCCTAGAATTTAAAAGAAAATCTAGAGCTGAACCACACTGAATCCTGGATCAAATTAAGCACTACCTTCAATATATTTAATTGCTGCTGGTGTTGTTAAAAATACAGATTAATTCTATGTTACTGATTTGCCCAAACTGTCCCATCTTAGCATGGGTATATCTTAGCATTCTAAGTTGCACGATTGTTTTCCCTTATAAATAATTATCACACTCTGATGTTTTTGCATGAGCTTCCTCCTCCCTTTTTGGTTAGTATTTCTTTTTTTGAATATTGTCTCCAGAGCCTTCTGCGTGATCTTGCCAGTCTCACAGCATCCAAGTGAACGCGAGCATCCAGAAACATCCTTAATGATAAGTGGCATGTTTGCTGACACCTCACAAGTGCCGCTTTCCTGACAAAATAGTGACATATCTTCAAAAATGTAATTACTCTAATAAAAGTAGGTCACTGAGTTGCTGACTGGTATGTCTTGGCAATCTCTGTGCAGTCAGTTTTCTGCTTTGCGTCTCCTTCCCCACATACATTGGAAACTAAAAAGTGCATATTTGCCACTGAACTGCTGAGGGAACCAAGTGTAGAACCGAAGGAACAAAAGCACTGCCAAATCAGCGAGTCGGAGTGAATGGAGCAGTTTTTTGCATCGTGTTCAATAAAGAGCCGCAGAAGAGTAATCACATCCCAACCACCTTTGAAACTCAGTGAGAACTAGGAGTCTAACCTTAGTTCGCAACTCTATACACACTTACAGTATGAGGAATTGTACGTGGATGAAACCACTGGGACTTGGTCCCAGAGAATGTCTGTGAGGCACAAAAGCTTCACCATGCAAGCAATGGTTGTTTGGTAGTTTTGTGAAATA